TTTGAAGAAAGAATAGTAAGCACACATTATATAATTTAATTTAAATCTTATTTTTGTTAACCAAAAGTAATTGAAATAGTTATGTTTTAATTGTTGGAAATATAATAAGTTTACCCTAATATTAGAGAGAAGCCTAATGTAGAAGAAATTGGTTTCACCAACATGCTTATATAATAAATTAAAAGAAATTGGAATAGGTTGATGATCATTCAAAAAAAAAAAGGCATATGGGTTTTTTTTTCTTTATTCATGTTTCTTATATTAGTGTTATTTGATTAAATATTCAAAAATAAAATTTACATATTTTTAATATACTTGTACACGTTGGCTATAGGATAAGCTTAAAAGTTTGTTTTCATTCCCTTTCCTAGCGTAACTCTTCTTGTTTTCAAAGATCGAGTAACCTATCATTACATTTTTAAGGTTCTTCTTCGTTTCAAAAAAGTTGTGGCTGATATAATGTTTTTGTTATTTCTTGACAAGGACTTTATAATTGTAATATTCATGTTGACAAAGTCTTCGATTGTGACATGTGGATTCTCATTAAAAAGCTTGTTTATATGTTGAAATTAATATCAGTGGCATCATTAGAGAGGTGATGTTAGGACAAGTAGAATGACAACATATATTCTTTCATGTTTATTTTTCAAGTGTTACACAATTTATTTTTGGGCTGCTTCATTATTTCTTAATCATTATTGATTATGTTAAGCTTAATCTTTCTTAATCTTTTATAATGGGAATTTCAAGTTAGTCTAACAATTGGCATCTCTGCTAGAGATGAGTTGTGGGTTGCATGTTACATTTTGGAGGTAATCTATTACATTTTAGTTAAGATAGTTAAGAGTTTGCTTCTATGAAAATGTTATTTTTTATGTTACTCATCTATCTCATTTTCTGTTTTCGTTTTAAGTTAAAAATATAATGGAATTATTTTGAAAGGAATTCTTTTTTATTATTTGGAGTGAAAATATTGTTAAGCTAAAAGGGGTTATTTAAACTATCAAATGAAAGAGCTTGTATAGTTTTAAGGAGTTTTTTTATGAGCAACGCGACTATATTATAAAAAAAGCTCAATCTCAACCTATATCAAGGATAGAAAATGACTATAAAAAATTAAATGCATGGACGTAAATTATTACGGATAAAAATGTTTGAAACGATGGAAGGCTACTAGAGTTGAATTATTAGTTAATTTCAATTTGAAAGTATTTTTGTTTAATAAACTTTGTTGTTGCTCATTACTTTAGTGAGTTTATCTTATGCTTACCCAATTCAGGTATGATATGTCCTAAAGCTAATGTTATACATAAGAATGAAATTTGTGGTGTTGTTTGGCCTATGAGAACAAGTCTTTGTTTAAAAAATTTTGGTACTCTGTTCTTGCATTTGTATTATTGGATCAAAACCTATAAAACTTCAATTCCTTTTTATTTTAGATATGATGTATATAGTTTTATTTGTAGTGAAAATACTCTTTGCTCTTGATTTCTAAACAAATAAAACATTTATTGCTACTTTAATATTCAATTTATATGAAATATAGTTATTGAAACATTAGTTAATAATTTTAACATTTTATCTTTCTTTCATGTTATTATGATAGCTTCATGATTGCCTATTTATTTTGTGTGTTAAGTCTAATTTTAGGAGTTTGAACTGACTTTAATGTGAAACCATGTGTTTTTCGCATAGCTTGATTTAACAGGAACAAAATTACTTTATGGAGATGAATGAATTTAATGATACAAGAAATGTATGTTATGTTACTTTCACATCACTCAAGTTTCTCACATCTCTTAGAAAAATTTGCATTAATTATCAAATTGCATTAAGGTGGTAATGGTATATCTTAATTCTAGCAACTTAGGTCAATATGAAAATTTAGTTTTATCTTTTTATTTTTTATTTCTTTTTTTAATAGATTAACTAGTAGTTGTACTGCATCTGAGAGAGCTCTAACCGTTAGTGATGTGGGATTTTTACTTGTTTTGTCTGCGAAATAAAACACTAACTATATGAATTAACTAATTATTGCTTAAATCTCATAAACAACTTGATTAAATCAAGTTTTTAATTTATGTGGTTTTATAGTGAGGAGTTTAAAGCTACTTTGAAAAAAAACATCCTAATGTGAAAGTTGTATAAGTTGTAAGTAATTAGCAATCTTTGATAATGCTTTTGAATGCATGTTTTCTGAATGAAGTGTTGCTTCTTTGAACTTTTTTGCTTAAAGGTTGGGAAAAACATTGGAGGGAAATGGAAATTCACGTAGGTGGATATAAGTTTTGAAATCTTTATATAGATGGCAACATGTTTTTTTATAATGACAGGTCAATTTGCATGGACTTTCGATGCTTATAAATTTCTTCCTCTCTCTCTTTGCTTCATCTATATATTATGTTTTGGACCTTTACCTGTATACTTTGATAACTTGGATTATTGTTTGAAATCTATATGTTCAAACTTTAATGTCAAATGTGATATCTTTACAAAACTACCATAACATCTCAATGCTTTAGCATTTTTTTTTTACCTTTTCATATTAGTATATTTATTAACATAAAGCTGAATATTATAGTTAAATACTACATATTATGCTTCTAGTTTCTTTAATTTGTAACATTGCCGTTTGTTGTAGTTGAATGATATGCTTTCTGTTTTTGTTAAATTTAAATTGAGACACTTATGATGATAGTTTATGTTTTCAGATAAGTTGAGAGTTTTGGCATTTAAACTGCTCTGTTTAGATTTCATTTCTGAAAGAGCTCAAGAAAATGACACTGCATGCAATGTGTAAGAAAAGTTCAATATTTGGATTTTGATTCAAAACGAGTCATGTTTATCTATTTGATATTTTTTTTCTTGAAACTAGTATATATTTAGTTGTTTATTTCTCAAAATCACAAGTAATGTAATATATTTTTTAATATGTTAATGTTAATTATCTTTAATATGATTTTTTTTTTGGCCATGAAATTTTATTTAAATATAAATTTCATTTATAGTAATATGTAAATTATTTTATTTTTTGATAATTTATCAATAATAATAGAAAAATGCATATAAAATGTCTCTCAATAATATTTTTGGTTCTATAAAATAGATTTTAATATTAATTTTGGGAAAGACAAAATAATTTATAAAGTCATTGCAAAATAAGTTTTTCACAACAATAAAAAAGCTGGTGGCAAAAATTTTGTGAGGCAATAAAAAGCAATGCTAATTTTAATCAAAGTTATTACAAAAAATTAAAGCTTTGCACAACAAGGCAATTTTAGTTGTCCAATATATTTTTTATAACAACATTAATTGTTTTTAGAGTTGGTTAAGCTGTTCTGCAACTTTATTAATTGTTACTAACAACATAAGAGTTGTTGCAAAAAAATTAGTTACAACAATAATTTTCTTGCAAAAATATTAGTCATTTTTAAATTGATAAAGTTGTTAAATATTTGTTTATTATTTGTAACGACACAAAATTGTTGGAAAAATATTATTTACGACATTAATATTGGTTTTCAAATATCCTTAAATTGTTGCAAAAGAAAAATAAAAATGAAAAAATTATTATTTCATAACAACTTTTGACAATAATTTTTGTCACTTTTAAATTAAGTATTGTAATGACAAAATAATTATTGAAAAAGTGATTTGTAACAAAAAATATTTTATTACAAAAGAATTTTAGTCAATCAAAATAATATTGTTACATAAAAAGTTTGGTAACAAAATATATGGTTGCTAAAAAAAAGTTTTGACAACCTATTGTTTAAATATTATTTATTTACTAAGAACAAAAAATAGTTGAAAAAATATTTTTTAAAATAACTTTTAATATAATAAAAATAATTGTGTATACTTTTAACAACGAAAGCACGCGAAATAACCTTACAATAACCTTTTTTGTTGTAAAGATTTTAGTAACAATAAATTATTATTTTACAATGACATTGAACATTGTTAAAACAATTTTTTCTAGTAGTACCACTAACTTTAAAATGTTATTATTTATTTTATAATCATATGATTTATTAATAGAATATTAAAATTTTAATTTTAGGAAATAGAAATTAACTTTAACAACTTTAATTAAAAAGGTATGACAATCAAAATTGACATTAATTTATAAACATAATTAACTTTGATATAGAATATTCAATAAGATAACAATGAACGTTATACAAAATTTAATCTTAGAGTATAAAGATAAATTCAACTTATCCAAATTTGACTAAGCCTAACTCTCAATTAGTACACAAGTTCAACTCATTAAAAGTTTATGGCAAAAAAAAAAAAAAACTGATCAATAACTCGATTAGACCAATTGGGTTGTGGCATTAATATTTTTTCTTAAATTTTTAATTTATCCTTAAATATAATATTTTATTATTTATTTGATTGAAAAAAATATGATATGTATAAATTTTCTTAAACTTTAATATATCAACTCTAATAATATGTCAATTAATTCAAAAATCAATCAACAATTATGACTTTAATATTGATCCACTAGATATAATTCTTTTTCTTTCACTCCACACTTCTAATCAGGTTAATAAAGTACAAATTAAAAACAAAAGTTAATAAAGTATATAATTAAAAAATTAAAATTTCATTATGAAGCATTAAATTAAAAAAATGGTAGTAGATTTAACAATTTATATTTTTTTTATGTGGATTTTATATCGAACACATGTAAGAGCAAAAATTATCGTATTATAATTCGTGTCAACATATTAAATATAAAATATAAAATATATTTTTTAATTTTTATCAAATCATATATAATTTTTATTATAATTTTAAATCATACCATTTTATTAATTTTTTTATATAATATCAAATATATCATATTTAAAATTATAAAAAATTATCATATCTATCCATATGCCACCAAGCAGAAAAGGGTCATATTCGGCTCCACCAGTCGGGTTTTGTGAGTTGGTCTAGAACAGGCTTAGTAAGGGTAATTAGTTTCCCAGCCGAGTCCATGGGGCCTCAGCCCAACGACAATCCTCAAATCCAAGAAGTACTAATCAAAAATGGCTTTTACAAGGAAGGAGTTGAGAACCTTTCCTTAAACGGCTTGTTCACGAACATCAAAGAGCCGGCCAGGTGCAGAGCAGGAACATTAACATAACATGGCATAACGCCGCGGGCTGAGATATCCATGGCTATTTTTGTGAGAACCAAATATTTCCTCTCCTCTCGTCTCAAATCCTTAACTCGCTTTCAGGTCTCTCCATGCTTTTGTTTTTGTCTTTGCTTTTAATTTTGTTTGAAGCAATTCGTCGAATATCTTTTCAACACGACTGAGTCTTACTTGGAATTCATTTTTGGCTTAGAAATGCAATCACACATTACAATCTGAATTATATTCTGAAATGGCCCCAGCGCCTAATCTTGCTGTTCATCCGGGTATCACTCTTTATCTAATTTTACGTTCTGTACAGCATTTTTTTTAATCATTATCTGAGAATTTAACCCTTGATTCTTATTATAATGATGTAGTTGACACGTCAAAATGGAAGAAGATTCAAGCGACCGAGGTGGGGATATCTCTTTCTATGATTTCGTTTCCATCCTGGATTGTATTGAAGATTCTTCATAAAGGAGGTAATCATCTTTTACTTTTACCCATATATATATATTTTTGTTTTCCTAACAAATTTACCTTTTCTAACTTGCTTCCTATTTCCAAAGCCTAATTAATATAGGTTCTTTAAGCTCTAAAATGCAAGCAGTTTTTTCAACTAAGTTTTTTTTGCTCCTCTAGTTTACTCATTTGGCTACATTTTTTGTATCAAAATCAATGCTACTTGATTTTGCTCAATAGTCTTCTTTTCTTACATATTTCAGGTTATGAGGCCTACTTAGTTGGCGGCTGTGTTAGAGATTTACTACTAAAAAGAACACCTAAAGATTTTGATGTGATTACCACTGCAAATCTTAAACAGGTTTGGTCACAATTTTTTTTGGTTTTCTTCTCATTCCCCTTTCCTTACCCGGAATTTATAGGGGAATGTGGTTTGATATACGATGTTTTCTATTGCTTTTGTAATATCTTGGTGCAGATCAAAATGAAATTTCATCGTGCAGAGATTGTTGGACGAAGATTTCCAATTTGCAGGGTGCATATAAAAGGTTCTATAATTGAGGTCAGTTTCTTGGTTTATTACTATCTGAAACTTTTTTATGTTATTTCTTTTGGATTATACCTGCTCAATAGTGGGAAGTTTCTTAAGATGCATTATTGAATTTGTATATGTTCTAATAGGTATCAAGTTTTGAGACAGTTGCAAAACATGATGAAGACAAAGAAAAAGCTTTATCCTATTTAATCCCAAACGGATGTGACGAAAAAGACTTAATTCGCTGGAGAAATAGCAGGAATCGGGACTTCACTATTAACAGGTATTAGTTCTCTTTTATATTTATTTTTCATGTTTATTCCATGAAAAGAGTTATCGTAATCCATATATTAGCTTGTGAAGGACCCCACTCCCTCATCTTTCTCCATGATCAAGCTTGAGTTTGATGCCATCTAATCCATAAGGATTTTATTTGAATTGTGGATGCAGCTTATTTTTTGACCCTTTTACATGTAATATCTATGATTACAATAATGGAATGTCAGACCTGAAGTCATTAAAGGTGATTCTCGACCTCTGCTAATAACAATTTTATGTGTTTTATATCCTAAACTAATATTTACCCTCTGCCTCTTCTATTTGATTACATTGACTCAGCTACGGACTTTAATCCCTGCTCGTGTGTCATTTCAAGAGGACCGTGGTAGGTGATTCTAGCTTTCTTGAGTGAAATCTCTTTTAAGATATTTGGATGGAATGACTGCTACATTATGAGACGCTTGCTAGTGGAAACTTACAGCAATTTTTCTTATGCAGCAAGAATTCTCCGGGGCTTAAGAATTGCAGCTCGTCTACGCTTGTCATTTTCAAAGGATACTGAGAGTGCAATGCACGATCTTTCCGCCTCCATTGAGGGATTAGATAAGGTACTTTAGAAATATCAGTTGAGACTTTCCTGCTGCCCAGATAATCTTTCTTCTCTCTCTCTTTCTCTCTCTCTCCATTTTTTCCTTTGTGACTCTCTGAGTTTTTTCTTGCTTCTCTTTCTTGTACCATTCTCATTTGCTCTTGCTACACCACAATTAGGCGCTAAGAACCAACCATACTGTGGCTAATTTACAACCCTTTGCCTTTGGATCCTTTTCTTTTTTGGTGTAACATTAAGGTGATATTATCAATATCTTACATCATACTTACCATCATAATGTTCTTCATTTATCCAGTTCAGATTAATGTTGGAACTGAACTACATGCTGTCCTATGGAGCTGCCGTGCCATCAATCTGCTTGCTCCAGAGATTTAACCTGCTGAATATTTTACTTCCATTGCAGGTTCATACATTTTTAGCTTCTGGCTGTACGTAATTTAATTTATTGAATTTAGTCATCAGAGAGGTTATCTGAGACTTGTTTGCTTCGCAGGCAGCGTACATTAATCAGCAGAGATCTGCCAAGAATTCCATGATGCTGATGGTAAGCTTGGCTTCATAGAAAGAGCAAATCGTTTTCTGTATTTCTAACATTTTTTATGAAGGACCTCCTTATTTGTAACATGGAGGGATTTATGAAAAGTTTGGTAGCTATGTAATTCAAGCTGACTTTATCAAGCCTGTTTACCTACTTTTGGGACAGTATAAATACACAATTTTAAAAGTATTTGGAATTCAAAGTAATTTGGAGATATTGGTGCACTCTCTTGATACTCTGACTAAGTGTATACTGATAGTTGTCTAGAAAGATAAGGTTTATCTTATAGAAAGATCAATCTGAATGCTTTTTGAGTTCTGCTAACAAAATTTGATAATTATTTGTTCTCTGCAAAATAAAATAATAATTATGCTTTAGCTGGTTTGGTATGCTTAACACTAAAAATTTGATAACGTTTTGACATAATTTTGGGAAACTTTTCAAAGTGTTATTCCAGTCAATATGACACTTTTCAAAGAAGTGATATGCTTTCAACTGGCTTGCATGCATGCCTATGAACTTTCATAAGGTCTTTCAAATGCAAGAATTTTGGCTTGATGTCTTTTGTCTTTTTGGCAGAAATTATTCTTCAATTTGGATAAGTTGGTTTCTTGTGATCATCCTGCTGATAGCACTCTATGGTGAGTTACCTGTCTCTTCTTTTTTTTTTTCCTTATCAAGCATCGAATATCATAAGACTTCATCTTTGTTATTATCGTTATCAACAAAAAACTTGGCTATTGTAAAGAGCAGTTATTCTTTCTTTTGTTTTACTGGAAAGTTTTGCAATTCTCTGTTTAAACCTGTCTGCAAATTGGGTTGAAAATATTATTACCAAGAAGAATGAGCATATATGTCTGTGGAAATATTTTTGTACTGCATATGATGGTTCACATTGAAAAAAGGGTGGAAATTATCATAATATGTAAGTCCAAGGAAATGTTGGATGGTAGCCGGCGGATTTACATGTTATTATGTATTTCAGTATTTGAGATGTGCTTACTGATCATTTTTTATGCATAGAACAGGGTTGGGTTATTGATGTTTCACCTGGCATTAGTAAACAACCCTCAAGATGCTCTTGTTGTCTGGACATTTGCTTCTGTTCTATATCATGGAAAGTGGAAGGAAGGTGTTGATTTTGCAAGAGAACATACTAAAGTGGAAGTTAAATTTGTACCTGAAATCTCAGGGTTTTCGGAAACTAAATCAGATGAAGAACTTGCCAAAGAAGCTGGTCAGTTTGCATATCTGGTGCAAGATTCTGTATGGGTCTTAACAGAGACAAGCAATCTATTTGAATCAATGTCCAGATATCCATTTTCTCCATGCTCTGGTTTGGTAAGTGCCTTTAAAGCCTTTAAAATGGCATCTACTTCGTTGAATTTTTTAGCATTTCTTATCAGAGAGACGTGTTCATGTTTTCCATGTCTCAGTTAAATTAATCTGCTATTGGAAATACCCCTACATCATTCCTTGATTTGCTTGTGAATGGACTGTTTTAGTTTCTTACCAAAAATTGGCATTTTTCTGGTAGACATACATATTTGTTTATGTATCTTCTTTAGTAAATAAGGTTTTTCTTTTTTTTTCTTTCAGGTATTTATACCGAAGAGCATTGTAAACCATGCTGCTAAACTTTTTGACCTGATGATAGGGGATATTAAGTCTTTTGTAAATGGAAGAGGGAGTGAGAGTCCTGAAATTAATTACCACTTGCTTGAGAAAGGGGATCCATGTGAAACAAGATATGTGCTTGGCAAGATTATTTTAGAAACAATGAAGGCTGGTCCCTTTGGAGATGCAACAGAGATAGCCAATGGTAAGAAAGACCTGCAAACAAAGGAAATTGAGGAAATTCTGACAAATAATCAAGTTCCAGGGAAGAAGGATAAAAACCGTGCCCCATCATTGTTGGATCCTGAGGCCCAGCAAGGGATGCCGAAGAAGCAAAAATTGGTTGACCGGAACCAGAAACAATCAGAGCTATATACTGCTACAAAGAAGCAAGAAGTGGATGCTAAAGAGTTCCAGGTCTTGGCCAAGAAGCACCAGAAGTCAGCCAAGACATGCAAGTTGTCTGAATGTGATATAAACTCGATGCAAGGAAACTTATTGTGGAAGGAAATAGGTCTTTTACTGAATAAGGAAAGGACAGCGGCAACGGAAGAGAAATGCAAGAATGATAAGGAAAAGAAAACTAAGAAGCATATGAAGGTAGTAGAGAAGTTGAAACACCATATTTCACCACATGCAGTTAGTAAGAAGCAACAAAGTGTAGTTAGCAAGTTTAATTTTAGCCAGGATGAGATGGTTAAGTGGGAACAGCTGTTAGGGAAGGAAGTTTGCAAGGAAGAGGTGAAGGAAAAAACTGAAAAACATAAAGCTATAGCAGGAAAAGAGAGGAGCGGTCGAACTGTACTTTCTAGTCTCTTCAAGTGATTATTTCGTTATTTGCATGCTATAGCTTTGGACAGCAACAAGGTAGAGGCAATAACTGACCAGTAAATTATCTTATCCCTACGGGCTTTGGGTTTGCTTGTTACCTGACTGAAACTTTCATCTGTACCAAAGTTGTGTGATAAAATCTTAGAGGTAGATGAAGCATTTTCGTAATTTAAGTAGGTAATTGCCATTTGTTAACAAAATTTTGACAGCTGAATGGGTTGATATGGTTATAAGCATTAACATGAGTACTACATTTTGTTGCGGAAATAAAGAGTTGGTTAGTGTAGATATCAGGTTCTTTTCACCATGTTCTGTCTGTTTTGTCTTTTAAATGCTTGTGCTTCTATTTTGAATTTTGATCAATTGCTCAATCCAAACTGTTGGTCTCAGTTAAAATGGTATATAATAAAGGATAAATATTATGGAATATGATCTAACTAGACAGCTGCAGTGCAGTGGAGTGAAGAGTAAATTTTCATAATCAAAACGGTTTTATTTGAATTGATTTATGCGAGACAACATTTTTTCTCTTATTTTTAGGCGTTCTTTGAAAAAAAAAAGAAATATTTTTCTTAAGAGATTTTATCAAATTTATCCCCATCTACCATGCAATTCAATTTAATGAGGAAACAACGTTGATTGATTTATTTTTATCAGATTTTAAGATTTAAACGTGAAGTTATTCATGTGGATTTTAAAATGATTGTTTTTCTGGGCATGAACTTGATATGATAAAAAGAAGGATACCCCAAAGTGGGAAGAGCGCATCTCTCCGGCTCACTAAACTCCAAATGTCAAAACTGTTTTACAAAATTAGCCTTTGATTTTGTCGAGAACCAAAAAAGTAATTTTGAAATCAGATGCGGCAGCCCACATGACAACCTAGGTGACCGTTGTTAGGACAAACTAGGAAACTCATATCCCTCTCTCCATCATATAACGGTCACTTCTCATAAGCGAGCCGTTGCTTTTGAAAATACCACCCTTTTTTTTTTTCTCTCTCTTACCCTTTCAGACAAGCTCCCCCTCTCTACTTATCTAACCACCTGTATTTGTAGATTTCAGCACCAGGGGGGCCTTTGCTTCTTTAAATGCTCTTTCTTTTACTAATTTAAAAGGGTTACCTTAGTCTTGTTTTATTTCCTTCTTCTTGTGGGGCGGCTCGTGGTTCTTCGTTCTTTCAGATAATCAACCAAAATGGAACATATATCTGATGAGAACAATCCTAATCTTTTCAAACCCACAAATTTTCAAGGTATATTTGGTTCCACTTCTTTTTAGTTCAAGATTGAACAATGGGTGTTAAACCCAAGAATCTAACATGGGTTTTCTTTTCTTTTCTTTTTTCTTTTGAATAAAGAAGGAGGTGCAGTTATAGGTTGCAGAAAGTTTGGGCAGGAGATTAGGCACAACAGAAGAGCTTTAAGTGTCATTAATCAGAATTTAGTTGGTGCTAAAGCATACCCTTGTGTTGTTAATAAGAGAGGCTTGTCAGAGTATATCTCTCAATTGCCATACAAACACATACACACTCTCTCTCTCTCCATACACACACACACACACACATATATATCTTCTAAATGATCTTTTGCTTCCTTGTTTTCTCTTCAAAATAACTTAACAATGTTTTCTTGCACAGAAGAAATGAAAATTTTGAAAACAACCAGTTTGATCCAGTGCACAGACCTATTACCAGGTTAGAGTTTGAACCTTTATTTCTTTTTTTGTTTCTACTTTATCTTTTTCTGTTGCTTGGCTAATGAGTAAAGGTACAAAAGAAAAGAAAGTTTAAATTTTGGATCTTAGATCTCAGACAAATGTTCAGACAGAAAAACAAAACCTTGCAGTCAACCTTAAAGTGATTTTTTTTTTTCATCATTTACAAATCAAAATAGCATAGAACATTATAGATTCAACCAATTTTTTTATTCCTTAACGGTAAATAAATGAGCTTGCTTCTAATTACTTCATTTTGAGATGCTGAATTTCAGGAAATGTGTTGCCCAAATTTCTAGTATTAGTCAACGGCATCGCCCCGAGGTACCCCACAACTCCACTCTCTTTAGGGACGAAACATAAAACTACTTAGTGTTATAATCTTATTAATCCATGAGAAGAACATTATTTCTGATGGCTTGTCCCTTCAACAGGAAAATAAGAAGCTGAAACCATCAGTTCCAAGCTCAAATGAGTTTGGAGATTGTATATTTATAGATGTGGAGGAAAGCAAGGCATCTGTAGACCACCCAGTACCCATGTTCTTAGAAGAAACAGAAACTAGGCTCAGTGAAGCTGATGAGATGGTATATCTACTTCATGTTCTCTCCCTCTTTTGAACTCTTGGAATGTATTCTTTGTAGGCAAGTCCATAAACTATGTTTTGGTGAAATTGGATAGGAGGAAGTCGAGATGGAGGATATAGCTGAAGATGCAATTGTTGATATCGATGGCTGTGATGCAAAGAATCCACTGGCAGTTGTTGACTATGCTGAAGATTTGCATGCCTACTATAGAAAGATGGAGGTAATTTAATTTGGATTATAGTAGAATAAGATTTTGTTTATAGTTTAATTTGGCTTAGTAAACACTACAGCCGAATAGCAAATCTATTCTGGTTCCTAGAAAAGCAAAAATTTTAGATATGCCTAAGATTTTGTGATTTTTAATCACCCGAAAAATGACAAAACCAGCTCACTCTATGCAGAAATTTAGCTGTGTTTCACCAAACTACATGGCGCAGCAGTCTGACATTAATGAGAAAATGAGGGCTATACTGATTGACTGGCTTATTGAGGTATAGAAATGTTCCCTACTGAACCCCAATGCCTTGAATGGTAAATGATTGGGTTCTGGTTCAAGCTTTTATGATATAGAATTCTATTCAAATCATCAAATCTAAGGATCATATTGGCTTGTGCAAATCAACAGGTGCATGACAAATTTGACCTCATGGGGGAGACATTATTTCTTACTGTTAATCTCATAGACAGATTTTTGTCCCAGCAAACGGTGGTGAGGAAAAAGCTTCAGTTGGTTGGACTGGTTGCTATGCTCTTAGCTTGCAAGTACGAGGAGGTTTCTGTTCCTGTTGTAGGAGATCTTATCCTTATATCAGACAAAGCTTACTCTAGGAAAGAAGTTCTCGAAATGGTAGTTAATTATCCGATTCTGCCATTCTGTTAAACTGCAAAGCAAAGGAGCACTAACATTTACCCTTTTCACATGCTGCAGGAGAGATTGATGGTTAACACATTGCAGTTTAACATGTCATTTCCAACACCATATGTTTTCATGAGGAGGTTCATCAAGGCTGCTCAGTCCGACAAGAAGGTCAGTTACAACTTTTCCACCCAGCTTACTAATTAAGTGCAACTCATGAGATATTGTAAAGCAGCTTACTAAAATTTTTTAATCTATTTAAAGCAGCTTGAGCTTCTATCCTTCTTCTTGATTGAGCTTGCCCTAGTGGAATATGAGATGCTTAAGTTCCAACCATCACTATTAGCAGCTGCTGCAATCTTCACAGCTCAATGCAGTCTTTATGGGTTCAAGCAGTGGAGCAAGACATGCGAGTGGCATAGCAGCTATTCAGAAGATCAGCTATTGTGAGTTTTTCATTCCTTTTAATTTCTTCTCAACTGGGTAATCTATATAGGAATAAGTTATTAAGGATTTTGGTTTGTTCTTTGATGGTTGCAGAGAATGTTCAAGACTGATGGTTGGTTTCCATCAGAAGGCAGCAACGGGAAAACTAACAGGGGTACATAGAAAGTACTGCACATCCAAGTTTGGCTACACAGCAAAATGTGAACCTGCAGAATTTTTACTGGAGACCCATCCATAGGAGAGGAATGTATAGGCAGCTACTGACTATACCTGATTTGATGAAGAAAGGAGGACAGCTAATACAATAATTGAGCAACTTCGGGTTGCCCTTGGGAATTAAAAAAAGTTTGAAAATTTTTAAACCTGCAGCAAGCAGCCTGGGTTGATTTCTTTTTCTGTGTACGTTCAAATTGAACATAATTTCTCACTGTAATTTTCTGTATTTCCTTGATACAATAATTGGCCAATGATGATACATTCTTTTTTCCCACGTTTCTTCTTTTTATGACCATGGTACCTTTTGGGTCAAAAAATGAAGAAGAAGATGAAAAAGTTGAGAGAATGCTTTTAACAAATCAGCCAACATCTATGGTAAACGATGAATCAAAATAATTTTTTTTCAAAATTTTTTTATATTTTATATTATAAAAAAATTAATTAAAAATTATATTTTTATATTTTTTGTAATATAATTTATTAGTTAGATTTTTTTTATTTTTAATAGAAAATAGATTTTTTAAAAATTAAAATTAAATTAAAAATTTCCAATTCTTTTTTTTTAATTCAATATCATTTTAGAAATAAAAAACATAATTTTTATTAAAAATATTATTTTACTTATAAATCATAATAAAAATATATTATTTTCTATTTGAAAAGATTATCTTTTTAAAATATTAAATATCTTTTTTTTCTTAATCAAATAAAAAATATTTCATAAAGTATGCTTTATAAAAAATAAAAAATATTTTAAAACTTATTTTTATTTTAAAAAATAAAGCTTTTAACCAAAAATAGATTCAAATTAGATTTTGCAGATAGAAAATAAATTTTTAATAGATAATAAATATATTTTTTAAAATGATATGAAAGTTTTTACATAATATTTTAAAATGATATGAAATTTTTATTATTTTTTTAAACCGACATAGAAACTTAATTTTTAAAAATGATATGGAATTTTGAAAATATTTTATTTAATTTTGACCTAATATTAATTTTTTAAAAATCTATTATGTGTTAAATAAATTATATCATAATAAAAATAAAAAATGTTTTAAATTACAATATTTTATAAAAATATATTTGAAATATATAATAATCAATTTTTTTTAACTATTTTTCCTTTTTTTTCTTTTTCACAAAACATATTTTATAAATATATAAGGAAAAATGAAGATATTCAATGTTTTAAAAACTAGATTTCCTTTGGATAGAAAATATTATTTTTTTATTATAATTGATGAATAAAATAATATTTTAATAGAAAATAAATTTGTTTGTTGTTTAAAATGATATTGAATTTTTTAAAACAGGAATTTTAATTTTTAAAAATAAATTTATATTAAAAACAAAAAATTAACTAATAAATTATATTACAATAAAAAATATAATTTAAAATTTAAAATTTTATAAAATATATATGAAATACAAAAAATTTAAAGATAATTTCATTCTTTGTCTCTAAATTTTGAAAAAAATTATATCTTAATCTTTTTTTGTCACATAAAATATCAAGTTGTATCATTAGGTTACGTCGGTTGATATTTATTATTAATTTAAATAATTTATATAGATAAAAAAATGATTTTAAATCATTGAGAATTTAATTAATCTTTTAAAAAGTTAGATATCAAAATAGATTTTGAGTAAAAATTTAAAAACTGAAGGTGTATTAGCCCGACCATTTAAAACTTTGGTGTGCCATGTTAGGTGGTGTAAAATTCAAACGAAAATACTTCATCTATCGGATTCAGACCCTTTTGTTAAATAAATTCTGTTCACCTGTTTCCAACTGCAACGTGCTGATGTTGGCATCCAAATGAGTTTTTTTTTTTTTTTATACATTTATTTATTGCAATGGAAACGTAACAGTTGACTCCTGTTATAGTTGCTTATTCAATTTGAGTCTTATCAAACACAATATTAAATACAAATTATTAGTCTGACAGATCCCCACTTCCATTCCTCAACCAAAATGGTATTACGTAATTGACTGATTAAACTTGAATAAATTTTCGAACCACAGTTTTGATTCAATGAGACAGAGACGACAGTCAAAATCCTCCCCTTTAATTTGCTTCGGCAAACCAAATATACTGCTACTACTTGCGATGGTACCCCTCTCATACAATAAGTAAATTAGAGAATGGAGTTGTTCGAGTAACTCCCAAACGACGCCGTTGTGTTTGTCCACTTCTCTCACCAACCCAAAAATCAAGACGCCGTTTCCCTTGTGAACCATTTGAACAATCAAACACTTTCTTTATAAACACTCCCACTTGCTTTCGGATCTTTCCACCAACCTTCCCCTAAAAGATCTTGCTTTCCTTCCATCTCTTCGTCCCCGAAATCTATAGCCATGGCAGCCACAGCCTCAACCACCTCTCATTCCCTTCTCCTCCAAAAGACCCCTCAAAATCACGCCTTTCTTAAACCCAACTCCACCACCTTCACTCTCACCTATCAAAGGTCTCCCAAACCCTTCTCCATCTCTTGTTCAGCAACTACTCCTACCCAAGATCGCCCCTTGGTCCAATCCCAACCTCAAGATCGGGTCTTTAACTTCGCCGCTGGACCCGCCACCTTACCCGAGAACGTTCTCCTCAAGGCCCAATCCGAGCTTTACAACTGGCACGGATCTGGCATGAGCGTTATGGAAATGAGCCACCGTGGAAAAGATTTCCGTTCTATTATTGAAAAAGCAGAGGCCGATCTTCGTGCCCTCCTCAACATCCCTGAGGACTATGCCGTTTTGTTCCTCCAAGGTGGCGCCACGACCCAGTTCGCTGCTGTCCCTTTGAATCTCTCTCGGCCAGATGACACCGTTGATTATCTGGTTACCGGCTCGTGGGGAGACAAGGCTTTCAAGGAAGCTCAGAAATATTGCAAGCCAAAAGTCATTTGGAATGGAAAATCAGAGAAATACGTCAGGGTCCCTTCGTTTGATGGTTTAGAACAAAGCCCAAATGCCAAGTATTTGCATATATGCGCTAATGAAACTATTTATGGGGTTGAGTTCAAGGAATATCCAGTGCCCAGCAACCCAAATGGGGTTCTTGTAGCTGATATGTCTTCCAATTTTTGTTCCAAGCCTGTTGATGTAACCAGGTTTGGGTTGATTTATGCTGGTGCGCAGAAGAATGTGGGGCCAGCAGGGGTTTGCATCGTGATCGTCAGGAAGGATCTTATAGGAAATGCACAAGAGATTAGCCCAGTGATGCTTGATTACAAGATCCATGCTGAGAACAACTCCTTGTATAATACACCTCCTTGTTTTGGGATTTATATGTGTGGGTTGGTGTTTGAAGATCTTTTGAAACAGGGAGGACTGGAAGAGGTTGAGAAGAAGAATAAAAAAAAAGCTGGTATATTATACAATGCCATTGATGAAAGCAAGGGATTCTACAGGTGTCCTGTTGAGAAATCAGTAAGGTCACTGATGAATGTGCCATTTACATTGGAGAAGCCAGAGTTGGAGGCTGAGTTTTTGAAGGAAGCTGATAGGGAGAAGATGGTGCAGCTCAAGGGACATAGGTCGGTGGGGGGCATGCGAGCTTCTATTTATAATGCTATGCCCTTGGCTGGAGTTGAGAAGTTAGTTGCGTTCATGAAGGATTTCCAGGCAAGGCATGCATGATTCATGCCTCTTGCTATACAAGGGCGGTGGTTCTTTTTTTTTTTTTTTTTTTTCTCATGAAGGTGTTTTTGTTCTCTCTTTATGTTTGCTTTCGTTTTTATAATGTCGGGTAGGTTTTTAAGTACTATGGATGATAAACTGCAAGCTATTCTTTGGGAAATGCTGGAAGTTCCAAGCAGCGGAAGTTTAGCAAGATTTTTGTAAGAGATTGACATGATTTGCTACTTTCGTCTCTGTTTTAGCTTCTTCGTCGTACAATGTTAAATAATAATCTAATAAAAAGAAGGTGGCTTGAATTTTTATGTTTTATGTTTTCCATTGTCAATTGCACCACACTTATATTAATATACAAGTTTATATGCAAAACTGCCGACTTCACTTTTGCCGCAGTTTACATTCCCTCCAAAAAAACTTGCGATGTTGCGGACCTCAAGACAAAGAATCAAGAAGAAACTCTTGCTTAGGGCATTAGATCAAGTTCGATGCAAATCGGAACAAAAATTTATGTCGGAGGTTGTTAATCTAAGCAGCCAGGATACTTTGATTTGATGGATGTCATGAGCATATATAAACAAGGGGAAAGACAGAATATCAGTGCTATATATAATTTGAGTTTCTTCCACATGCTTTACTCTACATTGAATTGTGAAAATCAAGGATTAAAAAAAATGAAAAATAATACATTTGTCAAGCACTCATGCTTACTACTGAATGGAGCCGAAATAATTTGCTAAGGCATTTGAATTTTGCTGTAAGTATACCACATTCTCCCTCGTGAGTGTTCTTTACAACTGAATCATTACGTAATTGATAACTTGATGTTACAAAAAAGAAAAATACAATATTTTACTGTAGCCACCGCTATACTTTTGAGTTTCCACAGGCAGAGAGCAGACACCTATTGTGGCCGAAGCAGGAAAGCAGATGTTGAAGATTTTCTCATCCAACCGAAGAATTCTATATTATGAAAATGAAAATCTTGAGAAAAGAGAGAGGGTTGATCCTGAAGCTTCATTTGCTGGGCTGGGCGGAACATCGGTAGAGGTGCGGTAAGCTTGTTGACACTTATGCATCTGTGGTCGCATATACAAAGGCCAATGATGCCATAAAACAAGAGATTCTTCAGTAGGTTTATAAGTTTCAAGTATTTACACTCTCATTATTTCAACTAGACAAGGACACTAGAATAAAAGGATTACTGTGTGATATATTATATGTAGGAGGCAGGAAGATTCGCCTAATTTCAATATATCATGTATATAAGCTTAAGCCACAACATTAAGCATCAAGCAGTGAAATAGAAAATCACCTCTTCAGGACTAAATTGAAGAAGCATTCCTACAACAGGTAGTAGAGCTTCCACTTCACCTATTCAAAGAATCAGCAAGGCACCAAAACATTATGTGCATTGATATTTAAAGGGTATTAAGCAGGTGAAATTAACAGAACTCCTGCCTGTGTGATTGTAAAAGTTAGTACCTGTTTCAAGAAGCTTTAGGATAACATTTTTCAGATATGTCATATCAACACCTTCTCTCTTTTTTGATCTTTCCATGTTGCGGAGTTCCTCCTTCAGCATAGCCTCCTACATTTGTGACACATGAAAATACATACGGGCAACAGAAGCTAGCAATTAAAACTTCATCATGGTACAACCTATATCCAAAATAACAACCCCCCTTTCCCCCAAAGAGAAGTTCTTTTCACTGAATAACGCAGACGGTAAAGGAGAACATGGTATACTCTTTGTTGAAAAAACAAAATAATTCAAAATGAAGAAAATTAAAGTTTGGTATGACACAAAAGAATATCCATCTCATTTCGTATTAGTGCACTTTCTGCCACGCCGGGACCTTGTCTAATCAGATAAAAGACAATTTCCAGACTAACAGAGGACTTAATCAGAGGTACAACACAAATGAAACAGCATAAGTCTAGACCTCTTTATACCTGTTGACTGTGGAGGCGATTTTCACGTTCAAGCTCCTCAATTTCTTCCTGCATTAAAGCAACCATCAAGAAACCAAACTGTGGAGATATAACTAAAATAGAATGGATTTTACTAACCTGAAGGGCTAAAATATGTCGCTGCGATTGTGCCAGCTCTTCCTCTCTCTGAGCCTGCTGCCTTGCCAAAAGCTAAATTTAAAAGATAAGTTAATGCAAAATCATTTTGATAATCTATGATATATGCTTCTATTTACATACATAGCAAAGAAAAAGATATTTATCAAAAACAAAAGTTCCTAAGTCACAAACCCACCCCCCACCCTGGGAAAAAAGAAAAGGAAAATTGACATTACCAGAATCTGCTGTTCTGCTGCAGAGGTGCTTAAATTCGGACCATCTTGTTTTTGTGCTGCTGAAAAAATCAGTTTGGAAGGAGACATCAGACAGCCGCATTGAACAATATGTTTAAATCCACAAAAAAAAAAAAAAGACAGAAAAATCTATCTTTCTATCTAAAAGAAGAATAAATATTAGTAAGTGGTAACACATAAATACACATCATACCTTTGCTGTAATTCTCAGCGTGATCAGCCTGAAAATTTCACTTCATTATCAGCCCAAAATTAACATGCAAAACACCTCTCTAGGGTGTTGAGGTTTGAGGTCAAGGTCTACAACTATACAAGAGAAAGAGAAACATACCAATGGTCTCGATTCCAGAGATAGTTGAAGATTCTTGTTGTCATCCAAAAGTCTGGAAATTTCTTTATCCTTATCCTCAATCATTCTATCAGCAAGGTCGCGGAATGATGCATGCTCCTCCTGCAAGTAAAGAATCCAATCAATAAAAGCAGAAATAAAAATTATTTGTTATCATCTAAGTCAAAAGGGAGGAAACCAAAAGCTGGGCACCTTCAACTGCTTATACCGCAGCTTCATCTCCTCTAATTCTTTTTGTATATCTTCACTAAAGGATGCTTCATTTTCAGCAAGGAATGCTTCGCATCTAACTGTAAATAAAGAATTATGAATAAAACTTTATATTCAAAAGTTTAATCTAGAAACACACTCTAGGAGAAAGAAAAATAAAGGAAGAAAATGAGAAAATTGGCCAAGCATAGAGACATTACATTGCCAAGTTTCTTCCAAATTTTTAAGGTCTATTTCCCATGCAGCTTTCTCTGATTGGTGACGAGCATTAGCAGAATCAAGATTCATCTCTAAACTTTTGATGTGCTGTTTGGCATTGTCAAGTGCTGCATCTCTAGCATAAAAGCAGAGTGAAAACTTCAGGAAAGAGTTCAAAGCACAAAACATGTTTAGCCTAAAATCCTAAGATATTATATGTTTAGCATCCCTTTTTTTTCCTGATTAGTGTCATTGATAGCAAAAATTCGGTACATAATCTCTATATCTCATCATGGATGTTAACTTATAATGGTACCTTTCTTCAAGTTCTTTTTCATGATTACATAAAACATCCTTAAGTTTTTGATGGGTGCTATCCCTTTCTGCAGATACCAATGTTATTTCTCTTTCTACCTCCTGCAGCAACCAAAGAAATGGTTTTTTTGTGATCTTTTAAAGACAGATGAAATGTGAAATACAAAGATATTATTATCTTATACTATGATATTATACTTTTAGTGCTTCTTCAAGTGCTTTTATTTGTTCAGAGTCTATGGCTGCAGCTAGCTCAGCATCCTTTTTCTGGAGAAGTGCATGTGCACGAATTTTATAAGACGAAAATTCCCTTTCAAGGCGGCCAATCTGCACAAAATCAGATGAATGTATCAGGGTCAGCTATATATTTATGTCTGTTTGCCTATTTATTCAGCTAAAATAAAAAATTTAATCCTTAAACAATATTAGCATCTTTCTCTGGAAATGCAGACTCTATAATATTAATTTTGTAGAGATTCGAGGAAGGAGAAGGTGTCCACATGGCATCCCATCCTTCTTCCAAAAATTTGCTTTTTTATTTTTTTGTTTTTTTACTTTATTTTTTATTAGAACTATTTTTTTTTTTACTTTTTAACATATTTTATTTATTTTTTAACTTTATTTTTTTACTAGATAAGTTTTGTTAAAAAAAGTCAATGGACATAAGGATGATAAACAATCTGTATCCAATTGGTTTCAATTCACACCAATCCAATATAGGTGTTTTTTTTTTTAAATCCGATATCAGGCCCAATTTTTTTTTTTTTAAATTGAGTCAGGTCAAAGATAGGTTTTTAAGGTGCACCACCCCCTATCAAATGTCTATGTGGCACCTCTTTCCTTTTTTTTTTTCTTTTTTCCTTTCCTTTTCTAAAGTCTTTTATTTTTTTTTTTAGGTTTCTTTTTTTATTTAATTTTTTCATTTTTTATTTTTTTATTAAATAAATTTTGTAATAAAAAAATCAATTGAGATAGAAATCACAAAATAACCCATATTCAATAGGTTTCAATTCACATCGATCCAATTGGTTTTTTTTTTTAATTCAAAATAATTGGATAGAGTTTTTTTTTTTTTAAATTGAACTCGGATAAGAGTAAAGTTTCAAATCTTACGCCTTAACCCTGATATATATAAAAATATATTTTATTATTTATTTAATTCTATATTTATATATGTATGATATTAAAAAAAGTTTTTATTTAATACCTTAATAAATTCAAGTGCCGCCCCATTTGACTTTTATTGTCATTTTCTTTGTTTTTATTTTTTTTGTTAAATAAATTTTATAATAAATGTATGGATGACAAAACATTTTATATCTAATAGGTTTCAATTTGGGGCGATCCAATTGGTGCAGCTTTTTTTAAAATAAAGATTGAGTCAAATTTTGCCTCTTTGAATAATTTGTGTCAAATTGGAATCAGTTTAGGTGCTTTGCCCCAACCCTTGAGATATTTAAAAGAATAGATTCTATTATTTATATATGTTATATTAATAAATATATTATTTAATATTTTAATTTAATAAAAAACTATATTTATATATAATTAAGTTATAATTCATATTAAAAAATAAATCATCATCCATACAATTAATATTCTAGATTTTGGAGCTCTACTCTTTTTTTTTTTAAATAACTTTTTTTTATTTCTTTTCAACTTTTCTAAAAATTTATTTTTTTATTTTTTTAATGAAATGATGTGATAGCGCTAGGTGTCCTCTAAACCTTCTCCTTTGTTTTTAAAAATTTTTTATTTTATTTTATTTTTCTCTTTCTTTCATTTCTTTTCATATCTTTTTTGTAATTTTTTACCTATTTTTATTCCTTTTCAACTTTTTTTTCTAAATCTTTTTTTTTTTATTCTTTGATGGCATAATGTGATGGTGTTAAATGTCCCGTACACTCATTTTGTTAATTTTTTAATTTCATTTTTTCCTTTCTTTCATTTCTTTTCATCTTACCAAATGTCTTTTATTTTTTACTCTTTTCCCTTTTTCACATAACTTTTTTCTCTATTATTTTACTGTACATGCAACTCTTACTTTTTTTAACTTCTTTTTCCCTCACAACTCTCTTAAAAAACAATATGAGGGAATAATCATGATGGTTGAATGGGAGGTGTTCCAGTAAGGTTGAGGTCCAAATAGGATATATATTTATATTTGCCTTTAATTTGTGTTTGTGTCTCTTAAATATTTTTATTATTTATTTCTAAAGAAATACATTTATATTTGTCTGTATGTTGTCATCAATTACAATTTGGCATAAAAATTTTACTTCTTATATTTAAAACATAATTTAAAAAAAATAAAAAATAGTCCCACAACGAAGCGCAGTCTAGTTCTAGTCAATATAAATATTGCAGGAAAAAACTAATTGAATAAATGAATTGCAGATATAATTTAATACCTCTTCTTTTGCAGCTGCTAGCTCAGCCTCTTTAGTACTTAGTATCTGGGTTTGCACAGATGCCTCTAGTTCCAGTTGACCTATCCAACAAGAAAAATAAATCTTCATTTTCTTGCACATAAGTAATAAATTTAAAGTTACAACGGTTCTCTCTGAAATGGTTTATACTTCTAATTTTAGCAGCTTCTATTTCAGCACGAATGCAGTTACTCTCAGTAATTTCCAGTTTTGTTTTGAATGCCTGAGAGGCAGCTTCCCAGCTTTCCTTTTCCTTCTCCTGAAGACATCACATGGTTTGTTTTACATAACAGGAAAAAGAAAAACATGTTAACAAACTATATTTGTCATTAATGACAATATTGTTCCCAATAATGGCATTTACTTATTTGAAGAGTTTGATTCATACATGCTCGTGTTTGAGGTGTGAAAGCTCTCCTTTAATAGATTCTACAGCAGCTCTTAATCGCGCAGCTTCGCCAGTTGAAGCTGCATCCATCTCAGCAATCTTAGACTCTTTCTCTGCCAATAGCACCTGCAAAAGTACGTCTCCATAATGCTTAATCTATCCTATCTCAGAGAACCTAGCAGTGGTGCACAGAATGAGAAAAACAATCCCCACAATATCCCCCCTCCCCTTGCCAACGACAGAAGAAAAAAGTTAAAACTTTAAGTGAAGGACTTAAAAAAAAAAAATGTATTCAATCTCCATCTAGGGAAAAAAGATGCTTGTCTTTCATCTTAACAGTGACAATAAATCTCACCTGCAGCGAAGAAATTGTTTCAGTGGCTTTGGTTCTATCGGATAAAGCATCAGCGATTTGTGCTTCCAAGCTCTCTTTATTCTGATGAAGAAGAGAGCGGCATCAGAGAAACTAAAGCACCATTCTTGTAAGGTATACCAGAAAGAAGAGAAAGCTCTAAGCATCTTAACCACGATTGACACATTCTACATCTGAATACCAATTTACCTTCTGATGTTTAGCAGCAAGCTCAGCAAGTGAAGCTTGCCTTTTTTCATCTGCAACTTGTAGTAATCCTCGCAAGTCTTCCAACATCTAAGATGTGAGCACATATACATCAAGAATTTCAGTTGTAAAATACACTATAAAGACTAAGCAACAAAACATAAAATCCATTCATTGGAACTGATGTTATTGTTAACTCTGTTTCATTTTTAGTGGTTCACACATAAAGTCACCAAGAACTGAGTAGTTGATGGTCAAATTGATGATACAATAATTTTTGAGTTTTAAGGAGGAATTATTTAATCTTTTCAAGACCTAGGATATGCTTGAAACATTAAAGAAAAGACAAAAGCAAAAACGAAATAGAGGTTTAATAGTTTGCCAAGAAGCACAACATACATGAAATATCTTTATATTGGAACACATGAAACTAGCTAAGAACCAAAGACATTAAATATACATTATAAAGGAAATTTAGCATCACTGATCATGCAGCTTTACATAGTACCTGTTCTTTCTCTAAAAGTGACTGCTGCAATGCCTCAAGCGCATCTTCTTTATGTTGCATTGAACGGCGGAATTCTTCAATATTATCTCGGAGTCTGTAGGTTAAAAGCATCACAATTACAAAACGAAGTGACAAATAAGGAACAAAACTCTTATTAAGCTCTATCAGTCAATGTTAAAGACATCGAGATTCATAATAAAGGATAAATCCATTTTTTTGGTTCAACTGCATTGATAGGATTATGCATTTCAACAATGACTATACTTATTGTTTGCACTTCTTAGTTGCTGTCTCTCATTATCCATTGCTTTCAATGCTTCATTTGCTTGTTGCCGTGTTCGCTCAAGCTCTTGCTGCAGTCCTGACTGTTGAGATGATGCTCGCTCAGCTGTTTCATTAACTTCATGAAGCCTGGCCTCAAGGTCATCTTTTTCCTGAAAATAACAATCTCCAAACAACAATCTAACTTAGTTCCCATGCAAACATGAAGCCTTCCTTACATTATTTTTCCTGATATAAAACCATAACAACACGAGGAAGATATGCATTTAAACACTTAAACTGAATATCTAAAATGCAAGGGTGATACATATGCTTCTCCTAGTTATCTGTTTATCAAATTGACCCGTTGACTTTTAGTGGAAAACATTCCCCAGGGATGTGCAATATAGGAGCAAACTTCTTATACTCAATGAAACAAATTATGCTAAACAGGTGACTGCACCCCTCATAAAAATAGAGGGGTGTCAGTGAAAAAAAAGTTGAAAAATCCTAGTATTCACTTCAACAGAGACACAATGTTCAAATCTATTCTTATCAGGGTCCAACAAAGGAACTTTGCCATAGTATTATAAGGCATCAAGTTTAAACAACAGAACCAAGGGACAAAATTCACCTTCTGAACCTCTTGAATGCGCTGTTTCGCACGCTTGTGAAGCCTGTTAAATTTCAAGTCAAGCTCACTGTATTTCTCCTCACGCTCCTTTATTTCTTGGTCCAACTTTTGTTGAGCTACACCATGACCAATGGTATAGACTCAGAACCAAAACAGAAGACATGTATTACACTAAAAACAGAATTTTCCTTCTCTTGTTATCTGAGATGTTTTTAAAACAAACAAGTTGTCAAGCCTGTAAACTAAGTTTGCATTGGGCCAATTTTCCAGAGCAAATTCCTTTTTTATTTTTTAAAATACAAAAAAGGAGGGGGGGGGGGGGGGGGGCAAGTTTAAACATGCTTTCCTGACCTTCAGCAAGTTTGCCAGAGAGTTCTTGAGCTTTGGCATCTGCTTCTGAGTAGACCTCTCGAAGATGCTTTAAAGCCTCCTCTGCTGCAACTCGTGTTTGCTTTTCTTCCCTAAGTTCTCTGCTCAAAGATTCTATCCTTTCATGTAGTTCTTTTACATCTGATGATATCCCGGTTTCCTGTCCGGTTGCATTAGTTTGTTTGGATGGACCATCATGTTCTGATTGGAAAATTTTCAAGCTCTCCAGCTGAGACTTCAGGAATTCATTCTCAAATTTGAGCTCAGTAACTGTCTGTAAAAGCTGATCATGAGTGTCATCTGAACTTAAGTTGCCATCAACCGCACCATTTTCCTTGGAAAGATTTCCATTTGTTACAGACAATTGTCTCTCAGGCTTCAAAGAATCATCTACCTGAGTTTCTGGCACTCGAGTAATCTCGCCTCCCTCCCCAGACATTATCACACTCTATGGTACAATAGCACCACTGACCTCAGCTGCAATCTAAAGATTATAAATGGAAATATTAATCTCCACGCTATTAACCATAAACCTAGCAAATCAGACAGCTAATCAGCAGTACGTATTTATGATACAATGCACGATAGAGAACAAGCCCTACGTTCGATTAATGCTCTCAATCGCTCGCTCTTTGATCAGAATGAAAGATTAATCTATAATCTCTTGAGAATCCACATTTTCGGTTAACGGTTTCGTAAATCACGAAAGAAAAAACCATCAATTCTAATGAAAACATCAATTAGTTTAATATTTGTGACTGAATTGTGGGAATCGAAGCCAGGAAATCAAATCTTTAGTTGCAATTACAAAACAGCATGAATTAGATCCGAATTCGAAAACAATTTCGAAATGGAGATTGAACAAAGAATTAGGAATTATGTACCTGTGGAATGAGAGAGAGAGAGAGAGAGAGAGAGAGAGAGAGAGAGAGGGATCGATTCGATAAGGTTCCGTCCAACCAATGCTTTGCTAAGAAATTATGTAAACAAGAAAAATAAATCGGTGGAGAAAGTGAAAAGACTGGAACTTTCAGTTTTGAGAGTAAGACGGATGTGGATATTGGGAACAGATGGGATCTCTCAGGGCAAGAGGTAAAGGGCAGAACATCTATTACCGCCCTGTACCTGTGCTGCTGATTTATTTTCCAGTTTTTTAACAGCAGAAGAGAGAAGACGTGGAATCTCACGATCACATGAAGGGTGTTTCAGTAATTATAATTTATCATCGGTCCGTATTCTTTTTGGGGTTTTTAACTGGACTACGGTTTCTTCTTTTCAAACCCAGTTTTTTTTTTTTTTAATGGAGATTTCTAAATGCACCTTTTTTTTTACATTCTATTTTTTTTAATTTTTTATATGTAAAATTATTTAAATATTTGTTTACAAATTTTCGAATATTTATTATTTTAAAAATTTATAATATTTTTTGAAAATGCATTTTTTAGAAATCAAAACACTTTTGAATGACTTCTTGAAAATGCTGAAAAGATGAAATTTTATGAAAAATTATAAAAAAAAATTTTAAATTATTTATAAATTTGTAAAATTTTAAAAATTATTATTAAAAAATCACAAATTTTAAAATTAATAAAAAAATTTACTTTTACTATTTTATTTTAGTAAAAAAATAAAATTTGAGAAAGATCTAATTAAATATTTTATCTTTTGATATTACAAAAAATGATAAAAAAATTATCAAATCTGATCAATATATAAGAGCTTAAACTTTATAAAAGTGTATAAGTAATATTACCAAATACTACACAATTTTATCAAAATCAAATATGCTTATTGAAGAAATCTATCGTGATAAATAAATAAGAAAACTTCTCCAAAAAATTCAATTTAATTAAAATTAATGTAAAATTTTAGTAATCGATATGAAAAAATATTTATTAAAAAATTATAAATTTTTATAAAAAAAATTATATTTGCTATTTTATTTTTAATTTAATTAGGATCTTATAAGATATTATTTTTTTCTAAGATAAAAATAGTAAAATTTACTTTCTTATTAAATTTTAAAATTTATGATTTTTAATAACAACTTTTTATTACAGCTATTTATAAATAATTTAAATAGAAAAATTTTATAAATTTTCATAAAATTTCAGTTTTAATACTCTTAAAAATATTTTTTCAAAAAGCATTATGATTTCTCAAAAATAAATTTTGAAAGTTATAAAGCTTGTGAAAATGAGGGATTTAAATAATTTCACTTATAAAAGATTTTGAAAAAGAATGTGAGATGTATAGAAAAAAAAAAAAGGATGCATTCATAAGCCCTTTTAATTAATTTTTTTATAAGTGAAATTATTTAATTATTTTTTCATAAGTTTTTGGATATTAATATTCAATAAATTTTATAATTTATTGGATATTTATTTCTGAAAAATTATAAATTTTACAATAGCTTTCCAGAAATTTATTTTCACAATGAAAATAAAATTTTTTTATGAGAAATTAAAAAAATGATTTTATTAAAATTTTTATTAATTAATGTAATAAAAAATTATTATTGAAAAAATCATAAATTTTAAAATTAATAAAAAAAGTTGATTTTATTATTTTAATGTTAGAGAAATAATAAAATTTTATAAGGCTTTTATTAAATATTTCATCTTTTAATATTACAAAAAATGATAAAAGAACTACTAAATCTAATCAACTTATAAAAGTGTATAGAGCATTATTTGAAGTGTGTTTAAAACCACCATATTATTATTAGTTTGTATGTAAAATACAAAAATTATAATATTATAATTTATGTTCATCCATTATATGCAAAACATATTTTTTATTTTTATCAAATTAATATATAATTTTTATTAAAATTTTAAATTATATCACTTTCGTATATTTTTTTTCATATCATTTTTATATTTATATATTTTGTAATATAATTTTCATATTGTGTTTAAAATTCCCTAGCCTAAATAACGGTGGAAATAACAAAGCTTAAATAAAAAGCCTTCAAAATTCACTACTTACAAAACAACTTTTGCAAGCTTTACCAAGGTGGAATCATTTCTTTATTTGGTAAATATGATGAGGCTTCAACATTGAAACCATAAATAAAATGGTTGAACTTAAGTCCTTCATCATTAAAAGGTAAGGACCTATGTAACATTACTACTCTGTTTAACCGTTGGAGATAGAACATTCAACAGGAAACACAAGACAACAGATTATGTATCTCAACTTTTGTTAAATAAAGACTTTACTCTCGTTAATGATAGCGATTAGAGCCGTGATATCCTTCAAAATTGGATGCGTTGAGCCCTGATTAGAGCCGTGTTCCACAATATGCCAGTTAGCGTTAGTCGACCCAGCACCACCAGAGGCAGAATAACCATTGAACTTGGATGCCTTTGACGCTAGGCTTTCAGGCATAGTAGACAACATTTCATCTTACTGCACTCCAAGTCTAGTGTAGCTCTTGCATGCAAAACCCAAAGGCACACTCAGGTATTTCTTCATTAATTTCATTGAATTATGCCTTTCTGAGACCATGAGCAACTAGGGTATGATTTTAGGGGACAATAAATATCAAATGAGTGAATGACCCATGGCTAGTACAGCAATCCTATTCTTATTGTCTTACATATAACATGTTCGGATACACTACAAACCACACCCATTCTCCCCTAATGACAGGAACAAACCACTGCATTAGCAGAGAACATAGATGGCCCATGGACACCCTCAAGTACCACCATCCTTGTTTTCCTGATCCAATGGCTCTGATAAAAAAGGTAGACTGATTATAGCTTTTGGAAGCAGATTTTACCATACATACAAAGATGAAGATAAAGCAAAAGTGATAGTTCCACCTATCAAAAACATTGGAGAAACAACAGCAAAGGAATCATAGTTGCTGAAACACCCTGGTAACATCTTCTCAAAAAGATGGAAACAAAGAAGTAAAGAATACTTACTAATGGATCTTCCCTCCCTCAAACTAGTGGCTACATATTTGAAAAATTCTTTGGTAGCATCTGCATGTTCACATAACAAGCATTGCAGTCAGTACAGAGATGTAAGCAGCAATGAAACTAATGCAAGGGATGGTAGCGTTTTAGGTTGAGATGCAAACTTTGAACCACAATGCACTCCTCTTGAATCAAAATAATTCAAGCATAGTACATAGAATTCATAAATTGACAACATGAGAGCATTGGTGGAGAGACAACATAATGACAGCAGAACATTTGCAGCAATTGTAACAAATCATAAGGGAAATCTCTTTTTATGACCTAATTTTATGTACTTTTGGCAGTAACCAATTTATACCATTCAAGTTCTCACAAGATTCCAACTGAATATTAAAAATAGTTAATCCAGTCATATGTCGAGAAGATGATTATCAATTGAAGATGAAGGTAGTTTTTCATAAAATCATTTGTACATAATCTAATGGAACTACTTCCACATTTATCCAGATTCCAGAAGATACAACCCAGCCACGATGACAAAAGTAATACTTGAACTGATCAGGAGAGAAAAATATCTCTGAACTTACAGTTCAAATGCAGGAACCTAATGTAAGTTACACCTTAAATGAGTCCAATATTCCATCACAGGGTAAAATATTCTTTTATAATGGTCAACATTCATGCAGAAGACCTACCATGTTTCATTGTCAGAGATGGATCTTGCTCATCTATTGATCCAATTACCTGAGCTGGTGTACCTGCCACCATACTTCAAAACACCCCAAGAAGGTACATCAAACATATATGATTCAGTCAATAAATTCAAAATAAAGTGCAACCATTTAATATTTGGAAAAGTAATGATCTACCTATGTGGAGGAACATGTTTTAATACAAGGGAACCAGCAGCAATCATTGCACCTTCACCTATTTTTATATTACCAAGTATAGTCACACATGCACCAAGTAGTGCACCATCACTAACTTTTGGGTGGCGATCACCAATTTCTTTCCCAGTCCCTCCCAAGGTCACACCCTGAAAGAGAGCATTATATTATTTAAAAGGTCAGCAGGCTCTTCCATACCATAGTTGTTGGTAGTTCTTTCCAACTAGGAGATAAAACACATTGAGAGTTGAGTTTCCAAGTGAGAAACATAAAGAATAATCTTATATCAAAAGAGCAGGCCTTTTCTTTATACAGAAATGAAAAGAATCTATATTTATGAACATTCCCACATGCCCTGCTATCAGCTGGAGAAAAAAGGTCTGAAATTTGGAAAATTGCACTGCTGATCCAGATATGTATATAGACGGGAAAGGGCAAGACATCATCAGGACCTCTTATGACTAGACAAATGAGATAGTAAGTTGACGAATGGAAGAAGACTCAGAAAATGGCATTGATATCAACATCAACTAGAATTCTAGAATTGATCTCCAAACCCAACTCTATTGATGTATTGAACAGTTTAGCCATCACCTGCCTGCTTCAAAATCAATCAGGATTTTTCTAAAATTCTTTTTTTTTTTTGAATTATTAAGAAGTTCAGGGGGTATAATAAAGAAATAAGAAAACAAGAATCATATGTTTTAAACAACCAGGTAATTTTCACACATATCTTTCTTGATATAATCGTTAAGAATGGCAACAAAGTGGCTTACATGCATCAATGAAACACGGTTTCCTACGACTGCCGTTTCACCAATAACAACACCAGTCCCATGATCCAATAATATGCCGTCTCCAATTTTTGCAGCTGCATCAAATCATGACATAAGAAAAGAAGTTCACTAATATTCTTACATGAGAACTAGAGAAACCTTTATTATTATCTTCACTGATACCAAACTGAATAGGCAACTATCACTGCATAAACCCTCAAAAAGAAAGAGAGATTTTATAAGCTGCTTAACACAAAAAAACCACAGAATTACAGCTCTTTCCCCTCTTCTACACGTGTAGGATGACATATAATTTGTTAGAACTTAATAACCAGAGATTATATATCGTGAACAGCATGAAAGACATGATACAAAGTATGAAATAAACATACCTGGATGTATGTCAACTCCAAAAACCTGAAGAGTATGCAAAAGATATGTTAAAAGGAAAACTGAAAAGGCACAAACCTAATCAAGGAACCAGAAGCAAAACTCACCTCGCTAATCCTGCTTTGCAATGCCAGTGCCAACACTTTTCGCCCTTGCTTCCATAAGGCATGTGCTACTCGATATGATTGCAGAGAATGGTATCCCTGAAAACAAAGGACGGTGAGTAATAGAAATGGATGTGCAATAGTAGTTAACAGCCTTCATATTCCTTATCTCTTAAAATTTCTTCTTTTAATATCTGAAAGCATAATTAATCAATTAGCTTTCTAAGGAATACCACAACTACAATTAAAAACAAGGGCAGCAAAGCAACTGATTTGAAAGTCATGAAGTTGTGCATACATAAGTAAGTAGGTTAAAAAATATATTACCTTAAGATATAATAAAGCTGAACTATATGACAAACAGGCAGGATCTCTGTCTATGAATGCCTGCAGATAAAATATTTCCAAACAAAAATACAGGAAAAATTATTGTTGAAGCAAAGACTTCTACAAACAGACATCACTTCTATATTATCTCTTAAAAACCAACAAAATTACCTGCACATCCAGGCGTATTGATCGTTTAATACCTCTATCATGCATCATAACATCACAAAATATATCCATCAGTTGAGTTGCCAAGAGTGTAGGATTTTGTAGACGATTGGCAAGAACAAAACCCAATGCTTGTTCCAAACAATCATGTGCCAAGATACTTGCGTACAAGAAGCTACTTAAAATAGGCTCCTTTTCTGCCTGCAGCAAGTAGAATTCTAGTCAATTTATCTCACACAATACCAAGGAGCAAAGGAAACTATATTTAAGTCATTGTGACAATCAAGAAGGATAGATTAGTAAACAACCTCCTTTAATGAGAAAAACAAAGAAAATATATGTCATCCATTCAGGTTTGAATAGACTCTAGATGCCATGACAATTTAGACAAAACACATAAGATGCTCCTTCAATAATCAAAGTCTCGTCACTAACAGATCAAGCAGACCATTCAAGAAGCACCCCATGAAAAAAAAAATCACAAAACAAAAAGAGCAAGTAACTATGAAAATGGATACCTCCAACTTGGCCTCCTCTCGCACAGCATCCCATATTGGGTCATAACCCGAATTGGCAACAGAGTCAGTGTCAGGCTTGGAAAAGCCCATTGCATACACTGGAAACACCTTCTCAAAAGGAAACTGTATAGACTTCATTTTATCTTCGCCTCCATCTTCGCTTTCTTGTAGAGACAGCCCACTTGAGAGCATCTGGGGAAACGATTCCCATCGCTTATCACTGACACAACCCATGAAAATAAAGATAGAAAGGAAACGAAAAGGTAGGAATTGTTTGCAAATGAACAACTCTATTCATGAACGAACAAAGGAGAGGAACCTCATTTTTTTTTGTTTTTCCGTTAATTGAAGTGTATTTCTTGTTCTTTCAGGGGGCGGTTTGATAAAAGGGATGGCTGCATAAAAGTGTGTGTCTTGCTTTTTATGAATGGCTCACATGTTTCTATGTTTACACCATGGTTTGGAACTTGGGTTTGGGTTGACGGCTTGAGGAGTTAATACTTATGCCTTCACTTATTTTATTACTATTATTTTATTTTATTTTTTGATTTTTGTTTTTACTTTTTAAGTGTTTAGGGTAAAAAATCCCACTAGTGTAATGGTGTTTCTAAGTCAATATTTTTATTTATTTATTTATTTTTTTTATTGAGTGCTATGGGTTCTGAATTTCATTCAATGCATTTTTTTTCCCAATCAATTCAAACAGGTCAATATTAAGTGCTATGGATTTAATACATTTCTTTATTTACATCCCAACTAATAAGTCAATATTTTTATTTTGTTCTCAAATGATGCCATTCATATTTATACTCTTTACAACTTTTATTTAATACATAAATTTTGATTATGTATAGATTAATAGTACATGATTAAAGGAGTGCCATGAGCATTCTTTTGTTTTTTTGCCAAAATTTTTTATATTTAATAAATATTTTTAATAAATTTTGTTCTTAAAAAGTAGGACTCACCTTACATCAAGTCTTTTTTTTTTTTTTTGTTTTCATCTTTTTCTAAGGATAAAAATATTATATTTATAAATAATTAAAATGTACTTTTTTCATTCATTTATCTATATTATAAATTCTGTTTATTTTGACTTTTGTTTCACCTTATTCAAGTTGTCAACGTGGCACTTTATATTTCTTTATTTTTTGTTTTTTTTGTCTTTTTTATTTCTTTTTTATTTTTAATCTAAATAAATATGTGAAAAAAAAAAAAACCAATTGGGGTGTCCAAACACTAACCTAACTTGATTTTTTTTTTATTTTTTAATTACATAAAATTTGTAACAAAAAAAGTTAATGGGTGAAAATAACAAAATAATTCATATCTATTGGATTTTCATCTGACTTGATGCAATATGGTATGATTTTTTTTTGGCTTTTTCTTCTTTTTTTTTATTTTTTTATTAGATAAATTTTTTGAGAAACTAATGTTAATGGAGGTGTCCATATAATACTCCATCGTCTATTTTTTTTGTTTTTTTTATGTTTTTATTAGATCAATTTTACAATAAAATAAACTGTTTGATAAAATTGACGAAATAATCAGTATTTAATAGATTTCGATTCATCTTGATTTGAGATGAGCGTTTTTTCAAAAATTACTATTAAATTAGTCGAGTTAGTTTTTTTATAGAAAGTGAAGATGAGTCAAAAGTGATTTTAAGCACGCTGTCGCTAACCACTCCATAGTATATATAAATGTATATATTTTACTATTTATTTGATTATATGTATAGTATATTAATAAAGTTATTATCTTATACATTTATTTAAAATATTAATACTTTAAATTTAATTTTAATGTCCATATGACACCTCAATTAAACCTGTTCAAGAGTCGAGATATCTACTCAAGCCTAAAAGTCTACTCAAGTTTTAAGAGGGTTTGGATTAGAAATTAAAATCTATTAAATGGGTTTAGGCATAATTTTTAAATCTGTTTAAATTTCGAGCTGAGAATTGGATAAAAGAATTAAAGTTTAAGCCTAACCCAGTCTAGCTTGAATAAAATATATAATTAAAATATTATAATCATATAAGTATATATATGTGAATTTTTATTTTTATATTTTACTTTTTAAAATTTTTTTATTATATAAATTAAGTTTAATAAGTGAGTTTGAGATTTATTTTTTCAATTAGAGTTGGACTTAAAAAATTTTGAGACCTGAAATATCGAGTTAGGTATGACCTAAGCAATCACATAAGCTAATAATACTAAGTATGGGCTCAGTCCGATCCATAAACACCCTAAACCTCAATGATCTCATTTTTTTTTTCTTTTTTTTTTGGGTTTATTTTTACATTTGTGTTTTTTTTCCAAATTTTTTAATAAAGTTATTATTTGATAATTTAATTTAAAAAATTAACATTTTAAACTCAATTAGGATGTCTATATAATGCCCTAATAAGCTTCATTTTTTTTTTTTTGCATTTTTCTTTTTCTTTTCCTTTTTTTGATTTTTTCTTTTTATGCTTTTTATATTGAATTAATTTTGCAAAAAAATTAAACCAATTAAGGTGTTCATGTGGCACCTCATTTGGCTTTTTTCTCTTTGCCTTTATTGTATTTTATTAGAAAAATTTTACAAAAAAAGGTGTCCATTGATAGAAATGCCAAAATAATCTGTATCCGATGAATTTTTATCAATTCTGATTCGATAAGGGTTAGTTTTTTAAATCAAAATTGAGTTAGAATGGATCGAGTTTTTATAAGAAACAAGATCAAGGTAGAAGTATGTTTAAGATGATTTGACCAAACTCATATATATATAATATATATAGTGTATATTTTATTATTAATTTAATCTTATATTTATATATATTTTTAAACTCAATTTAATAAATTAATATTTTAAACTTGATAGGGGTGTCCATATGACACTTTTTATAGGTTTTATTTTTTTTTCTTTTTTGTCCATTTTAATTTTTTTCAATTTTTTTATTTTTTATAAAATAAAATTTGTAAGAATATAAGGCCAATTCAGTTATCTATATGTCATCCCCCTTTGTTTTTATAACTTTTCAACTTTTATTTTTTTTCTTGATTAGGTAAATTTTGTAACAAAAAAAAAATCAATGAATAAGGATGGCAAAATAAAAAAAAAATTTAACCTATGACAACATATGAGTGTCACACCAAGTATTTCAAAAGAGTAAGCAGTGTATTTTAATTCTACATTAAATAGGAAAAGGAAGTTTGCTAGGTATATAAATGTTGGCACTATACACCCCAATAAGTTGGTTTTGATAGAAAAAAAATAATGATCACGTAACAAATGATATCAGGTTAACTCTTGACTTATTCAACTCAACACCAAGCACCGCAACGAGGCAAGTAAGGTGGGCAAGTTTATCTACTTAATAAGGTGTAAAGGTAAGGCACGGTAGCAAAATCTAACCATGCCAAAATGCTCTAAAGGGGGAATAGGTAAAGTGGCAACCGTGATGAAGACCTCATGAATCGAGTAAGAGAGAATGTTGTGCCAAACACTCTAAAAAAATAGGTACGGTGTTTCAATCTCACATCATATAAGAAATGGGAAGGTCATTTAGGATATAACTGTTAGCGCTACAAGCCTCAATAAAATTGGTTTTGTGGGCAATGATTAATTACCACGTGACACGAGTACTCACCTAATAAAAATTAATATTAGTAAAAATATAAAAGAAAATTTTCTTTTTTTACTTATAGCCTAGATTACAGGCTATATAATGGATGGAAGCTTGGTTTTACTTTATTTTAAACAAACTTTTCGAAATGAAAAAGATACTATCATTGATTTTATATCTAACTATCATATAATTTTGTCTACACCTTTACTAGTGTGTGTTTATATATATATATATATATTTATTTATTTATTTATTTATTTATATAGGTTTTGGTGCATTGTTGCTCTTGTTTCTTTTCGAGAAGAAAAGTGGAAGTGTTTCTATTTGTAGAGCTGAGAAAGCTGGTCCAAGCTAGAAAATCGCTCGAGCTTATCTGTGATCGAACATGGATCAACTCAGATTGATTAAGAAAAGTCAAAGGTTAAACCCGTAAAACTCAATTCGACAAAATTCAAACACAAAAAAGCTCAACATTGATACAACATGAATTTGTAATGATTTGAACTCAAGATTGATCCAATTTAAAACCCGTAAAAGATCAAATTATAACTTGAAAAAAACTTGAATTATAATTATATGATTATTTTTTAAAAATGAAAATAAATGATGAACATTTTTTTAACTAAAAATTTTAAAATGTTATTATTTATAATTATTAAATAATTATAGCAATTATTTATCATAAAAAAGTTAACACTGAATTTTTAAATTTGATTATGAAGTAAAATTAATTTTGAAACACACTAAATATTAATATCAAATTAATTTTAAAAATATTCTTATTATATTTACAATAATTATCAATAAAAATAAAAAAATAATATCATTAATTTAAAATTTGATTTCATTATAAAAATATTAATTTACAATATATTATTGCTTTATTGTATTTATTCCCTATTTAAATTTTAATTTAATATAACATTAATTCAAATATAAAAAAAATTATATTATAATTTTAACATTTGATTGAATTTGATGTTTTGAGGAAAACATTAATATCATTATTAACAAAATTAATTTCTGATTATATATTTTTTTGGTGTTTCAAACATATAAAAATATTAAATTTACTTAAAAATAAAATATTACCTTATAAATTAAAACATATTATTTTAAAAATTGAAATATGAAGATGAAAAAAGTTTAATAACGGCCCGTTTGAGAGTTGAGAGTCGGAATATGGCACTGGTTTTCAGATTTTTCGACTGGAGGGTATCGTGAAATTGGGAACGCCGCCACTTTGATTTTTCTGTTTTTTGTTTTCACATTTCTTAATTTTTAATTTTAATAACAGATAAAAAGAAATTTAATTTGATGTTTAATTGATTTATTAATATATATTATAAATAAAATTAAAGTAATTATAGAATTAATTATTATCAATAGTAAATTAAAATATAATTTAGAAGTATACTATACCAGTAATAATTTTAACACAATTAATTTTTATACTTAATTGATATTAATATTAATTATATTTAAGCAACTACTCATTTAGGGTTATTAGCATTATATTAATTAATTTAATAATGTCTACTAGTTAATATTCTAATTGGATAATTGGTTAATTGATGTATATCTAATTTAATTATATTTATGTTGATGTTAAAATGATAAAATTAGTGTGATCAATTATTATATATGATTATATTTAACAAGGAAATATTAGTATAATAATTCATATACAAACTAAAAACAAAATAGATATTAATTGACCAATTATTCATATTAAAATTCGTTATATTAAAAATTGTTATAATTGATAATTCATTTTTTTAATAATAACTATTATTCAGCATTATAATTGGACAATTGGTAATTGATGAATATTCTGAATCTTTTATTTCAAAA